AAGTGAAGGAGCAAAACATCGGACATTACTTTATTTTAAGTAAATAGAGTATACAGTATGATAAATATACACTATTATTTTATTTACTTACCACAATTTTATTTTGCTCTTTGTATGGTTGAAATTGTGCGCCATCATTGCTGTATGAAACAATGTACATTTTTACAAACTGATTACAACAATCGGCACGACCTTGTGTGCTTATTCCCGTGATCACGGTTAGCTGTTCAAGATCAACTTGTAACCATTGGTTCATATCATTGACTCTTGCAGACCACGCCCCAGTTCTGCCATTGTGCGCTATAAAGTTCAGACGTCCATTTTGTGCACGATGATTTGAATCATAGTTAGATGATGCGCTAATTTGACCGTCGCGAATTCTTCCCGTTTGTAAGCCTAGTTTGGCAGGTTTGTTACAATCTGCAAGAGATGTAGATTACATACTAAATATTTTTTAAAATGTTTAGTTAATTAACTAAAATGACACACATTTACCCCACTGATCTGTATATAACTTCTATAGGTGCCAAAAGTGAAGTCAAATTATACATCCGACGATCATTTCCGGGGACCAGGGGGTGATACAAATTACTACAGAGCTGCATGGCGAACAACGTGAAACAAGGCAAATTTCGCCAAATTTGAAATACTTTAGCCGTCGATAAAATAAGTTACATATGATACTGGATGGTAACCGATATCGAAGACAGAATTGACCCAAGACAATTTGGATGTCTGAAGGGAACATCGACGACTTACTGTCTTTTGGACATGATTCAAACTTGGTTGTCCTTCATAGATGGTCATGGAAGACACTTACGGATATGTTTCCTCGATTTTGCAAAGGCCTTTGACCGTATTGGTCATAATATGGTAATATCCAAATTATTGGATCTAGGTGTTCGACGATCCTTGGTACCATGGATAATTAACTCTCTTTCTAACCGTCGACACAGAGTTAAATTAGGAGATATAATCTCGTATTGGTTACCAATGAAAGCTGGCGTCCCACAGGGGACAAATCTTGGTCCAATTTTGTTCTTGGTAATCAGGGGCGTAGGAACCGGGGGGTCTGGGTGGGGGCAGGTCCCCCAAGTTTTGCCAAGTGCCCTTTTTTCGGGAGCAAAGTGCCCTTTCCTTGCGTGAAAATGTCTTAAGGATTGCATTTGCCCAAAGAGCACTTTTGAAAACTTGAATTGATGTTATTTTCCGGAAAATTTTATTCATTTCCGGGAAAAAATTATATATCCGGAAAATATATCCGGAAAATTTTTTTTGGTATTTCCGGAAACATTTTTTGAGACCTCTCCCCGTCGCCAACTTTAACGGGAAAAAAATTTTAGATGCCCTTTTTTATTCGGAAAGTGCCCCTCGAAGCCTACCTCCCCAACTTTTAGAAGCTTCCTACGCCCCTGTTGGTAATGATAAATAATCTCAATCCCAGATCCAGCGGAACAGATATTTGTAAATATATTGACGATGTATCAACCTCGGAGGGACTGGCAAAGAACAGCAATTCTAATATGCAATGTAATATTGACTCAATCTGTTCTTGGTCCCTACAGAACTATATGAAACTTAACGTTAAAAAATGTAAAGAACTACGCATTTGTTTCCAGAAAGATAAACCCAAACTATTGCTATTATTGATAGATGAACAAGCGCTTGAAATCGTTCAGTCTCACAAAGTTCTTGGTTTTATTATTCAGAACGTTAACAATCCAAAATGGAACGAACACATTGATTCAGTCGTTTCCAAAGCATCTAAACGGTTGTACATTATCCGCACTTTACGCCGAAGTGGCGTCCCTGCTGAAGATTTACTTGAGATCTATTTCGCGATCATACGCTCAGTGTTAGAGTATTGTTGTGTTGTTTGGCATAATACTTTACCTTCGTATCTTGCTAACCAGTTATAGTTAGAACGAGTCCATAATCGCGCACTTAGAATTATTTTACCAGAATACACCTATAGTGAAGCCCTAACATTTCTGAAATACGCCCGGCTAGACGAGAGACGAGAAAAACTTTGCCTTAAAACCTTGAAAAATATACCACAAGGAAGTCCTTTATTTAGTCACATTCCTGCACCGAGAGACACCTGTTACGATTACAACCTAAGAAATTCTAATGCATTAACTACGATCAAACGCAGAACAGGACAGTACCGCCGCAGCTTCTTTCCGAGCACTATGGCTATTTTTAATGACAGTAGCACCATTTAAATACAGATTTTGTGTAAGTACAAAGTAACGTTTTAATATATTTTAGTTACTCTTTAATCCTTATTATTGTTAATATAGTAATTAAATACTTAGTTGTAAATTCACTGCAATTCAAATTTATGCGATGGTGAATATTCTTAAACATGAATAATAATAATAATAAAATATCGAAAATTACACTGATTGCCCTAAAATATCGTCATTTTTGTTCGTTCAAAGTTGTCCATGCGGGAATAATATTTTGTCGCCACAGTGGTATGACAACACAACTTCTAATTTGCTTTCCAATTAGAGACTGGTCATAAAGTAACTGCTAGCTAGGGTGGGCTGCAGGTAAATCACAAATTTTGCCAATAAGTTTGGTTACCCATCTTAAGATGTACATAAAAATTTCAAACCCCATCTAATCTTATTGTATGTATTTACGTCCGTAATGACTTCAAGAAAAATGTTTTGAAAGATCTCTCGCATATTTCTCCAGTAGGTTTCCATTAAATTTGGTTGCAAATACAAGCGAATAAAAACAAATCTAGGATCGTTTGCGTTACTTATAGACCACCCGGTTGCCTGGTTACATGTATACGAGATGACCGCATGAACTTAAACCTAAATACATCGAGGCTTTGGTACTAGGAAAAGAGATAATTATTTTGGGCGATATGAATTGCAATATCCTTAAAACATGTGGTTATGAAACTAGTGTGCTATTAGATACTTGCTCCGCACTACACCTGAACCAACTTATTAAAGAACTAACGAGAATTCCATCTCAAACAAGTATTCCATTGCTCGACGTTATCATGATTTCGTCCACCTCTAAAGTTAAAAGTAGCGGGATTGTTGATATTGGTATTAGCGACCATTCTATGATCTATTGTACGCTCAAACAAAGAGCTGATAGGCCTCGACTTGAATACAAGGATGTGAGGAGTTTGAAAAACTACAACTCCGATAGTTTCATAACCTGCGTAGCAGGCGTTTAGTGCGGGCGGGAGAAGAGAGCTAAGGCGCCGTTAAATAAACGCCTGCCCAAATGCCTATGACAAATTTGTTCTGGCTATCTTTAAAAGGAGGAACGGGGAATCTGGGAACGGAACGGGGAATGCAAAAAACAGGGACGCGAAAAGCCGGAATCTTTAAAAACAGGAACGCGAAAAGCCGGGATCATTAAAAACAGGAACGCGAAAAACCGGAATCTTTAAAAACAGGAACGGGAAAAGCAGGAATCTTTAAAAACAGGAACGCGAAAAGCCGGAATATTTAAAAAGAGGAACGCGAAAAGCCGGAATCTTTAAAAACAGGAACGCGAAAAGCCGGAATCTTTAAAAACAGGAACGCGAAAAGCCGGAATCCTTTAAAAACAGGCACGCGAAAAGCCGGAACCTTTAAAAAAAGGAACACGAAAAGCCGGAATTTTTAAAAATAGGAACGCGAAAAGTCGGAATCTTTGAAAACAGGAACGGGAAAAGCCGAAATCTTTAAAAACAGGAACGCGAAAAGCCGGAATTTTTAGATAGATAGATAGATAGTTTATTAAGATAAATCATTCCAGCCAAAATGGCTGAATTGCATATTAATTTACATAATATAAAAGTTAAAAGTGATTAAAATAGTGATAAACTAATTTTACATGTAATATCCAATAAGTATATATATAAACTAGGATTAAAAAGTTTTCCTACTTAAATTACTAAATATAAAACTATTTTTTAGTTATTATTATTATTATTATTATTATTATTATTATTATTATTATTATTATTAATTAATTCTCCAAACATTTGGTTTTTCAGATTAATATAAATGTAAATGTAAATTATATCTAAATTATTATTCTATTGTATATTTACAGTTTAAAATCGTTAAAATTAGATAAGTTCATTAAAATTTTAAAAGAAAAGTTCAAGCAGATAGTTATAAAAATTACTTTTAAAGTCTTTACAATTGTCATGTACAGTAATGTTACTAGGTAGAGAGTTTCACAGGGATACTGCTCGGTATTCAAATGTTCGTTGTCCGGCCGCCGATCTATAAGCTGGAATGTTTAGTTTTTGTTTATTTCTGGTGTTTCCAGGGGCGGATTTAGGGGTCGTCAAATCAGTCGCGCGACTGAAGTAAAAATTGCCTGCTTACAAAAATTTGACTCCAACTATCTATTGTGGCCAGTAGATCGAGTTACTAAAATTTAGAATCGTGCCGGTAGTCCAGTTATACGTTTCATGCTGCGGGAGAGCTTCGGCAAAGTAATGTTAGTCAGTCACGAACAGCGGTCTTACGCATGAAAGTTGACGGATTCGGGGGTTAAATCTGGCTATCTGATTGGCTGACACACTCATTTCCATGGCTACGGCCATTTGCGACGGATCTGTGGGGAGGCCTGACGGATTTGCAGATTCAGGGGCTCTGTATGAGCCTTCTGATTGAACCATTTAACAAAAATTCTGCACTGTCATTGGCTTATATTTTCGACGGATTCGCAGCGTGAGGTATTCGTCAACACGGCAATATAGTGTTTACGACTGAGTTTAACATTTTGAACGTTTACTATTACGAGCGATTTCTACCAGCGATATCTGGAAACATTTTCGACAATGTTCAGTTTGCAATTGCGGCAAACGATTTTGAATCTCTATACAACGTACGTTTGTACCGAGCTTGAAAAGAATATCGATGCCTCACAGACGAATTTTGTTTACAAGCTGCTGAGCGGCGCCAGCGACAACACAAGCAGAAGCCTCGCTAGAAATTTTGGCGCAGAGAGGCTGAGAGAGCTACTGCTAGAGAAAGACAAAGCTTGCACTGCAATAAGGTAGATAAATTATGGTTTTATAGTGATGTATCTTCAGTTCATATTAAAGGTTTATAAACCGGAGTACCAATTGTCTGACATATGATATTTTAATATATTCGCTATGCTGCATGCATTGCTATATTAGCATAATTCTCGCATCAAGAAGCTAAAATATGTTAACTACATTGTAAGCATTTGTTGATTCTCATGTTAGTGAAGTTTTATTTATATCACACAACATGTACGCGTTAACGCGTATACGTGTATTGGTTTATCCATAGCCTATCGACATGGCTGAAATATTTAATTAGGTAGCTTGAAAAGCTCA